TTTTTATTTAAATAACCAACTAGAACAAATAAACAACTTCAAAAATACAATTATTGCATAAAACTAATTCATAAAATTATTTAAAATATTTTATTAAAATTACATCATGTGTGGGAAACCTTAGACGGGCGGCCATATTGCTATTATTTCGCCTTCTCGGACGAGTCAAGGGCGCTCGGGACATCGCGGTAAAATTTCGAGGAGTAGTGTTTTGTTTTGATGTAATTAAAATACTTAGAGTTAACCGAATGTAATCGTATATACATCAGAAGAAAGGGTAATAAGTCTAGTTTGTTGTAAAAATATTTTATTGATAAAATATGCAATAGTTGTGCCTTATTTTCTAAAAAGGTAGAAATATTTGTGTATTTTTTTTCTGAATTACATGTTTAACCCGGTTTTTTGTATCAAAGATTATAACTTACGATTAAAAAAAATTGTTAATATTGATCAGTATTCTTCAATCTTTTTTTGGTATTTTTTTCTTTATTGTAGCCATTACGGTTCAGTAGCTATATAGGTTTTTTGTTACGACGAACTTGCGAGTCGCGCGCGGTTCGGACGCCGCGCGCAGCTGGACGTTAGAGAGATAAACGGTCGCGCGGCCCGGACGTTAGAGTGGATAAGTAACAGTTAAATCTTAAGGGACTTAACAAGTAATGAATTGTTAAAGTATCAGACATACTGTGCTCTCCCGCGTCTTCCCCTTCGCCCAGCTATTACTGGGGTAGAGAAGTGTTCTGGATGTGTTAATGGCAGCTGGTCTAAAGTTTCACTCTCATTGAAATGCCGGCCACTCTTCAGACATAGCGCTGACCGTCGCAATGTAGTTATGTCTCCATCATCAAATACTGTATCACAGAGAAACATATTCAAATTAAACAATTTGTTTAGCAAATTTAAACTACATTATCAATCAATAAATAAAGTTTAATTAAGAACTTTCTCCTTTTTTAAGTGGTCTTAAAAGTAAGATTTATCAATCTGATAAAAAAACAAGGAATTTTGAACTCAATGTGATTAGTAGTAATAATAACTAACTTTTTTAGTTCCAGAATAATTTACGAAAGTATTATTCTGAAACTATAAAATGTATAAGAAAGCAAGGGCTCACAATAGCTCTTCTTAACTACTTACCAACTGTATACTGGCTACAATCTTGTATCTTTGTGATGACAGCTTCCATGGCATCCTTCTTTGGATCTTGTTTCACTTCCACTATGCTCCCAACCCTCAAGGTACCCTTGATCACATCATCATTCACTGTGATAGTACCACCACCAGCCTTTAAAGTCACCTAAAAATAAGAGAATAAATGTTATTAATTGTATTGTTTTGACCAAGTTGTTCCTTTGAGGAAAATTAAATAAGTTCCTACCTTACACTTAATGTTCCTCACAACTTTCTTTATCTTAGCCTCACAGAAGGCACCTTTGTACTTTGCACTAACATCTGTACCCACAGGCAAGAAAGGTGGGTCGTCACCCTGCTGGAAAAGACAAAGACAATTAGTATAAAACCTCCTTGCACTGAAAGTCATGATCACTAAATTTCTTTTCTATGTTATTGTACTTACCATTGTATATGATACCTTCTATTTACCAGGCAATTCTGGAACAATACATATTATATTATGTTAATTATTAATTTGTTTATACACAATGATTATTTTTTAATTGCCAATATTATTTTGGTTGCTAAGTTTATGACACACTATTATAAACTGAGTATATAGTTTAAATTCTACTAGAACAGAATATAAAGCTTCTGTAATTTTACCTTAGTTTTACCCTATAATACTGTGCTATGCTTTGATTATAAATTGAGTAGAGTTAATTAAATGGGTGGGTCTTGGACCCCAAGACATGTTTGATAGTGTTTTTGGCCCTTGGAATAACTGCAATGCACATAATATTTCATACTATCAATTATTATTTAACAGGTGTGGATCCAAAAAATTGGACTAGGAATGTAACATATAGCACAGAGTCCTTGATAATATAGGTCAGATCAAAAAATAGTCCAATCTTGTAGTAACAAAATTTAAAAGATTCGGTACAGGCCTGTTGATCTATTAAACCATACATCTGTTGCAAATAACTGGACAGTTAGTAACTATTGTGATAAAATGTTAGCGTTACCGAAAACAAAAAAAAAAATCTCACACAGACGACATACTTATAAACATCAAATGACGCCTAATTACTGACCGAGTCCTTAGAACCTAGGACATAACCAATTGTTCAAAATTAGTAGCTTTTCGATATATGTATTTAACGGAGCTAAACAATCATAACAAGCAATGATTGACAAGACACATTGACAACAAGCGTTGGTAGGAAAAAGAAAGTGGATGGCGCGGTAAATAAGACATACAGCATTCACTTACCAAACAGTGTTATTTTTGCCAATTCGCTTATTGTAATTATTCTGTACCACATCTAAAAGCCACAAGATAAGTGAATTACAAATGAAGATTCCATATTTATTAAACTCCACATCTATACCACTCTCCGTGTTTGCTTGACTGACAGGACATAGACAATAGAAATAGACAACAGATAACAATGACATTTACTCATTGATATTGCCAGACTAAACAAGGTCCTACCGTTACTATTGATTTTTTCTACAATTTCTTTTTCTTTTTCTAGAGCAAGCTGAGCGAGTAAGTGACCTAATTTTGACTATGGTGTCCATTAACAATCTGTTTACATTCACTTTATCTGTGGCTACAGGAAAGAATGACACAAATGAACATTGAACACGTCAAACAAAAATAGTTTTGTGTTTTACGAAGATATGATGTTTTGAAAATGTATTTATTGACGGTCTCATGATTTTGGAGTGCGTAGAAATTTCCTAGATTAATTCGTATGAAAAAAAATTAGTGCATCGGCGAATCGGCGTTGTACCAAAATGAAGGCTTTACTAGCAACTGTGATCAGTCTTGGACTTACGACTGTGGTTATCGGCAATGCCTATTACCAGAAAAAACAGTTTTACCCTTCGATAGTTTATCTAACAAATTCCAATCCTAGCATGGCTGTAAGTAACACATGATTCTCTTATTTTGAAACTACCATATTTTGGCTTTGTAGCTAATGAAAACAATATTTTGACCATGATTATTATGTAAAGTTTTTTAATTGTACAATATGTACTGGTAATATCTTCATATTGTATTAATAACAATCTTGTTTTTGCAGGTAATGTATTTGCAAGCCTTCATACTAGTCCTACTAGTTGGTAAACTATTGAGGAAGATATTCTTTGGGCAACTTCGTCCAGCAGAATTTGAGGTAAATTAAACTAATTTCCATTATATGTGTGTACATTTATTACTGTACCAGCTGTAGAACTGTGGTAATGTATATATTATGTGGAAATATGTAAATTGTATGTGTTTTTTTGCAGCATTTGATTGAAAGATCTTGGTATGCCATAACGGAGACATGTTTGGCATTCACAGTGTTCAGAGATGATTTTAATCCAAAGTTTATTGCGCTGTTCACTCTCCTTTTATTCCTCAAAGCATTCCATTGGCTGGCTGAAGATAGAGTAGACTATGTAAGTAATGATTTCTATTATTGATGAGACAAATGAACTAATTATAGTACCTACAATTATGTTATGTACTATGTCTGGCTCTCATTATGAAGCCAGGAACATCATACATTGATTAAATTGTAGCATTTTGTTGTAAACATATCTAAATAAGTACATATACATTGTACTGTTTACACTATGTTTATTACATTCTTATTTATTCCCTATTTGTAATTTTTATAAACACAATTATACTAAGACTTTTTCTGGAGTGGACCTTTGGCATATAGGTCTTTAAACTGTAGTGTTTTATACAAAAATGTGGTATAATTAGAATAGAATAATCTTTATTGTACACCATTAGTAATATAGTACATACAGAAAAAGGAAATGACATTTTTGTTATGAATATAAATGAAATTAATTTGTTAACATACCCACTATAATTGATACAATGTAGCATTTTAATGTGTGCTGGTATGGTCTGTATGTTTGACTAATAACACAATGAATTATATTCTTTTTTTATTGACTCAAATGGCAATGATCATTATAAAATCATTGTAATAGTACATATAAATTGTTTGTATAATTATTATTGGTAGTATAAGGGGCCGTCCATATCACACGATCCATTACGTCACACGTTAAGGGGTAGGGAGGGGGTCGATGAAGTGTGACATTGTGTGACAAAGGGGAGGGAGGGATCCTAAACATTGTGATGTCACATTTCAAAAACTATTATAAAACATGAAATAATTGTAACATAACATCACGCCTTTTATCCCCGAAGGGGTAGGCAGAGGTGCACACAGAAGTAACACCCACTTTTCACTATTTATGTTATGAGTCCCATGTA